TTTAACGGTATTACAGGGCTTCTTACTGGCGTCCCCGGCATCCTTGACCCCGCGAACTCGGGAGAAAGCGTCCCGTCGGTTATCTCACGCGTCCGTGGCATATGTAATATATTAGAGCATTCTTCCTCCGTCATCGTCTGCGCCATTCGAGCGAGTGTTTAACAGCCGGTTTAACAGTCTAACGTGGCAATGAAAAGTAATCAGAAAGTGGAGCTGCAAATAAAACAGCGACGACCACGACGATGACGACGCTCCGGCGTCTCGTCTCGAAACGTGCTCTGCGTACTTTAGCGTGAATATGAAAAGAAATTAATCCTCGAGACACGATTTGTCCCATCGTTTGTCGCGTTGTTAACACATTATTATTATCGTTCTTATTGATTAGATATCCGGAAAGAGATTGCTTGATAATAGGAGAAAAGTTAGAGAAAAAAGATAAAACCGGGAGGATATGGAGGAGGGGTTTTCTTTTTCGCGCGGCGAAGAGCAACCGAGTCATTTTACGGAGGAAAAATGCCTCGTTTGCGCAACAAATGACACTGCTCGATAATGGAGGGATTCCAAAGCGGCTGCCTCCGGGACATAGAATATTCCATCGCATGATTTCTCAGAAAGGGAGAGATCCACATTTGTCCTCGTATAAGATCCCGGTGGCGCGCGGGGCGCTGCAAAATTAAAAGAGGTATTCCGGAGGAAAATCCTGCTCGGCGCGGTAGGACGCGAGGCGACGCACCTTCGCTGATAGCAGCGAGTTATGTAATTCGCAACGCGAGTCGTCTCTGCAAACCGTTTGAAATTACATCGCCGCGAGCACTCTCGAGCGACAGAAGCAATTACAGATGAGAATATCCGGGAGAAATTTTCCGCGTGACGTCGGAATTGAATTTATAGCCTACGATATCAACGCACAATTGGGACGATTCGTCGCTGACGAACCTCTCCGGTATGCGAACGAAATTAGCTTGCAAACGAGAGGAGGTGCAAATACACTCCGTTCATTTTCAAATGAAAGCTTGCGGGGACGCAAACAATTTCCCCTTTCTCCCTTTCCTTCTCTCTGCCACCCTCTCTCTCTCTTTCCCTCCGCATTGAAAGTCAGCGCACACCGAGACCGCGATACGTTTGGGGAGTATTCTGTTTATTTCATCCGCCGGTTTTATACTTTTGCCATTTTCTCGTTTCCCGGCGCATTTGGCCGCGATTCGAAAACGGCAACGTCCGCCTCGAGTGCGAGTGCAAATGAGAATCTCATTTGTGCCGCACCGCCGGGATAATTCGGATGCGCCGGCCGGTCCAACCGCTAATTCAGCGGTACGCATTACCGTCTGCGCCCGGCATGCGGAAACACTACGCAGTTAATAGCCCGTCAATGTCCGCAGCGAAATCTATATTTCCGTGTTTCACCGACACGCACTCCCCGACAGTCGCGACACCCGATATTCTCGAAGCGAGTATTTTTCACAGTCACACTACGGCAGAGCTCCGTCGCCCGGTGTTTACTCGAATCCTGTTGTTCCATTCGCGGCGGATCCAACAACATTCCACTGGGAAAACCAGTTTTGCTCGAGCACAAACCGTTGGAAGTATTTTCGCGACGGATGCGGTCTCGATTTGTTTCGATTCGGTTAATACGCCGCCGAGGCGAGTGCCAGGAGCCGCCCGTGCGAGAGCGGAGGAGCGAAACCCGCGAAGCGTGCGGAACGCTGCAACGAGGCGGTGGTTTCTTCTTTTTTTTTTCTTTTTTCACACGCTCTCACGCCGGTGCATTAAAAGGGCCATTGTCGCGGCTGGCGGCTTTAATTATCGCGAGAATTGACTGGCGAGTTGACAACTATCCGTATCGCAAAGTGCGCTAAATTGGGACAAGAAGGCTGAGGCTTATGTCGATACTGCGCGATGCGAGTGCACCAATAAGCGAGCATCTCGCACAAAAGCCATCCGACCGTATTTAATCACAGCTGTACTCGTGCAACGAACGCGCCCCGCTTTATCTCGCTCATACTTTCAGAAGTGTATCCCGCAAAGGGAAAGATAAATACACTACGTTCGACTAATGCTCGGCGAGGAAAAGCGAGTCTTGGAACGATGGCGCGAGAAAATCTCGACGAAGGACCGCGTGTAAAAATCTGGAAAAATCTTATTCCGTGACGAGGCCGACGGCGGATGCGCCAGACAGCCACTTGGGTGTTGCCCGTAAACGCCTGCCGCGTCTTTAATTAATTTACGTTCGCCGAGTCAACGCGCTTTTCACCGTAAAGAAAAGAAAAAAAAACAGCCGTCGACCGCGAAGAAAAAGGGAGAATGAGAAAGAGAGAGATAGGGGAGATGCGCTCCTTCGTTAAGGAAGGAAGAAACGTAAAACGTAGCGGGTTTCGGTGCATCTCGCGGGAGATGCACAGACACCACCGATAGATAATAGCGTATAAAACAGACGAGCGGAGAGAAGGATGAAGCCGCGTCATTCTTCCTACGGACGCGGCGTGACGCGACGTTGTCCATGCCGATGTCGATCACGCTTTCTCTCGCTCGGGATTGCAAACCACTCTCCACTCTGTGGACTGTGAACTGAAATCAAATATTTTAACGAACTTGTTGGCGTTCGACTCCGAGAGTATCTCCTTGAAGCTCTTTGATTGGTTCGGGCAAACTTCCCGTCAGTTTAAATATTGGACGTACAGAAACGCTCCACCAAGTATCCGCACGTTGAAATATATACTTTTAATCCGCGCGTTTAACGTTTGTAAGTGAAGTTAATAACTCATTAAGTTAATGGGGTTGATGAAGTTTTTAATAAGTCGGACGCGCTTAATTCATGTAATCGCTGCGGTATATGAGATTATCGACGGACAGAAAGAGAAGAGATATTTGATTTCCTCAGGGTGTAATAATAACGCGTCAAAGTGTCCCTCCGATCTCCGAAGAATGAGGAAAATCGCGTGACAATAATTGCGGTATTGATCTTGCATTAGTCATTCTTCCTTTATTCTCCCTGGATTTTGAATGGTAAGAGCTGTGTTTGACCAAGCGGATTTTAATTTTATCGGGAAGTCGTGAGCCTCTCGGGACTTCCCGAAGCGCTTCGTTGGAGGCAAGTTTTTCGAACGGTGTGGCGATACGAGCCGTGTCAACAGCACGGCGAAAATCGGCAAAAATTCCTACGCTCCTCCGCAGCTCGGCTCTCGCTCTTCGCTGCAACGATAATTGCCGCTAAATGAAGTCGAGGTTGTTAAAGCGACCGCTGAAGTTACGGCCTCGCATTATTTTTCGCAGCAGGCCGCCGCGCGCGATCGATTTATCGGCCGCAACGAAAGTGGAAATAAGGAAGAAAAAACAGCTTCCTCCTTGTCTGCGAGACCAAAAGAAAATACTGGACGGCCGATATATCTTTAGAAAAAGCGGGAAAGCCGGCGAGCATCACGTGACCTTTGCAAAAATCGATACTATCCCCCTTCTATCCCTATTATCTCACACGTCTGCGTGACGTTGATGAACCTTTTAATCGCCCGGTCTGCATTTCGGATTCCCTTCGCCCGATTAACGGGAAGCTTAACGGCAAACTGACTCTCCCGTTCGCGAAGTTCATGAGATCGTAGGTGCGATGAGAAATGTTCCATTTGTCGTAATCCGGCGACCGGTGACGTCAGGAGAGCTCGAAAGAAATCCGACGCTTTGCTCCGTCGCATTCGTGATTTCGAGAAAGGAAAAGAAGAATCGAAGAAGATACATAGAGCTCAATGTACACATTTAACGATTAGTGAACGATTGACGAATTCCGATTTCAGCTTCAATGTTTCACGAGATCCTCATCAGTTGGAAGAGAAGACTCCGCATTAAAGGCTAGGATTTAACGTTAATTGCACCGTAACGAAAAGAATTATAGAACGGTGGTCTCGTCGTTATTTGATGAGAAGTCGGCTCTGCGAGCCAGAGCATGCTCATTTGCAAAATATCCACGTCATAAAAAATACATGTTCCACGCACTGCGCAAATCAGCGCCGCGGGCTCTCGGAACGCGCCACCCCGAAATACGAAATGAATATCGTAAAAAGCGAAAATGCCGCGCGTCTGTTTTATGTGGGCTGAAACCAGTTTGTGCGCGAGCTTTTAAATGCGGGGCATAAACACCCCCCCCCTCCCCCCATGCCCTTGAAGGGTACAAATGACACATTAGCCTTTGACATTAAATGCATTAGCAGAAGGTAAACACTATTGAATTATGTATCGCATTCGAATGCATCATCGAGAAGGGCTGAAACTAGGAAATTGCGTTATTTTGTACGTCGTCCCCGCGTTGAGACCTTCACATCGAGATGACCGTCTCGATAAAGAAAAGCGAGCGAGATAATCGATATCGCGAAAACGCCCCTTTTCAAGATCAAGACTACACAAGGTGAGGCAATAACTATCACCACCTTGAATATCTCCGAAAAATGAATGAATAGTGGCAAAAACTTATCTAACAAAACTATGCGTCGATACCAATTGTCACTTCAAACATCTTTCGTAAACGTAAACTTCATCTTCATCTAGCTGTTAGTAAAATATTTGTATTATTCAGGAACGTTTGAGATGGTAATAGTAGTCATCGTCTCATTCTGTATATACACATGCATACATATATTGAAGCTGTTTTAAAATAAATTTTATTTGATCTCTCCAGAAAGGCGACTTCGGGTCGTCGAAGGTTAAAAATGAATTACTCGATGCGCTTTATGAATGCCAATCGACGATTCTCCGATGACTCGACAATCGCAATTTTTATTCCACTCATCCCGTATTCGCACAGGACATTATAGCGGAAGCGGGAGCGTTCAGTTCATCGGGGCTCTCATTTTTGCCGGAACGCGTGGGAATTTTTGCATGCGCACACAGGCTGGAAGCTCGACTTTTGCAGTGAGCACAGGGCGAGTAGGATGTCACCACGCGAGTTGACAGAGAGCTTACGCGCGCGCGAAAACACATACATATACACGCGCACCGCGCGGTTCACGTTGCGTTACCTGTTTATCCGGCTCTTTGCCTTTGGCGGTGATGAGTCGATCGCAATAACAGCCCTCCAGCATAATGACGCCACTGGGCCGCGTACAGGTCTCGTTCTCGTAATAGAATAGCATATTCTGTAACAAACGTTGCGCTGTGAATTCGCTCATCCCGAGACGGAGGAATGAAAAAATAATATCTCGTAACATTTCGCAAAGAGGGTGGAGGGTAGAAACAGGGAGTAATAGGATCTTTTCATATTTAATCGCTTCATGCTCGTTCGCCGATCCGCCGATACTCGCATAAATTCGCGCGCGAGGCACGCAAGACTAGGGATGCTGTGAAAGTATCGATATTGATATTGAACGAGTATCTAGGGATACCAGTATAAGAATAAAAGTATCGATACCGACGCACTAATATGGAAAGTTAAAAAAAACCTTAAAATTGGAGAAAATATAAAAATCAAGGAAATGTTTGTCTTGCAAGCCGCTTTTAAAGGTTTCGTACGTCTACGCGTAATAATCTTGCTGTGGTAAAGATATTTCTGTCATCTGCACTAGACTTTCTACAGTTTGTAATGTAAAAACCCTGGAAAGGATGTATTAAAGCTTCTTCGCTGTGTCTTTGTTTCATGACGTCAGAAGCGAGAAATCGCGTGCGAAAAATTATTACGGTATACATAAAAATAAAGCAATATACGCACAAAATGTTACCCCGCGATCGATTCCGCACATTCGTGTAAAAATGTCCGAACATTTTCCTCTTTTACTTCCGGACTTCGACCGGAAAGAGTTAAAACGCATGTTGCATGTTAATTCTTGTGAAGCAAAAATACGTGATATCCTAAAGGTCGACCGGGTAAAATATAAAAAAAAGATCGGAAAGACTTCGAAACAAAATAGTATTGACATGGGTTACGAATGTCGGTAGGAAATATCGATACAAAAATGTCCGGTACTGAAAGAAAAATATCGGTACAATAATCGGTTATTATAACAGTAATATCCTTACGCAAGACGCGCGGCAGATGCGTCTTGGTTATCCGTCATTTAATTCGGCAGTCCGGAGAATACGATACTTAAGTCAGGCATGTGCTTTATACTTCCATTATATAAATTTCCACCGCGTAATACTTCGAGCGCTAAGGAAGGCAAGGATGTCTGACCACATTCAGACCGCTTCTACTACAAGAAAGAGAGAGATTTAGTCTCGAGCGCGGTAGCGTGTAGCGTAAAATGTTCCGCAGATTCATATTGTATTCCCGTGTAATAAGAAATCGCAGCGAAATACCATCGAGTGTTTATGGTTTAATTAACTCCAACGTACACGCGCATCTTGTTTCGCGAGTGCGCAGCATTGAATCTTCGAATTTGATGCTCCATTATTGAAATTATAGTACGCGACTGTCTGTAGCGAGACGAGAAACGGGAACCGTGACCGTCGCTCAGCTAAACAGAATATAATATTATATAAATCCGCTTTCCCGTCTACACGTTGCGACTGTATCTGTGTGTCCATGTAAGTGTACGTACGTATGCAGCGGCATAATAAAAGCTGAAAAATAATATCACCCGGATTGTATGGCAGCAAATTACTGGACGCGTCGTGTTACCGGCGCAAGATTCGCGAAATGAATATCGCGATTGGCGGGGAAGGAGGGGGGGGGAGGGGGACGGGAGGGTGCTCTCGTTTCATAAAGCCAGTTACCGTTCCAGGTAAAATCCACCGGGATGAAATTGGCGCCGCTCTGCTACGTGATACAATCCCCGAAACGATTTTGCTTTATCGGGACAACGTGACGCGCGGGTTACCGGCGGACATCTACGAGAAATATTTGCGATCGGCGATCGATTAAAGCGGCACTGACATACCGCGAAATTGCCTAGCCCGGCGTGCGCGAACGTATGCACGTCTCTTGTTCGCGACGACTGCGCGATGCTGAGATAGCAAATTCATCCGGCGCCGATGACAGAGATTCGCACGAGCGAGAGAAATATTTCACTGCGACGAGCCGAACGCACCGACGCATGGATCATCGGCGTTCCGGTGCGCGCCGGTCGATTAATAAAAAGCAATTTGCGGTAATGAGACTTGGTGTCCCACGAGAAAGTTTTATGGAACGAAGAGGACTCACTCTCTTTTTTTCTCTCTTTCTCCCTCCCCCCTTTCTCCCCCTCTCTTCTTCCGCTTACCACGGAGGGCTCTCGAAGAGCTCGGATCTTAGATTAACTTAACTTCTGTCTCGGAAATTGCGCGTGCGCTTCGCCGCGCAAGGGCGATAAGAGCCCTTTCCTTTACGCGAGTTTCGAACTCGCGCGCTCGGAGGAACGTGAGCGTTCTCGCGTGACGGTTAGAAGGGCCGAAGTTTTCGATCCCCGTAATACGAGACTGCGATAGGTCTATCAAGCTTGGAGAGCACGAGCGCGGGTTACCTCCACCGCGCGTCCGGTGATAACCCGACACGGGATACCCAATTATTACGCGTCGCGTAAAAAAAGAGAGGGAAAAACGAAACGTACAGAGCGGGAAACTTCCGCACGATAATCTTTTCGACTTATCGTTGATTTTCGATTTATTACTGTGTTTATCTTCCAGAAGATTACTTTACTTATCTTCTAGAATAGAATTAACTGCTTTCTCCGTACCTCCCGATACAGGTAACAGCGAGCATTTCCAGACACCCTGTACAGTTGGTGTCATGTGTGCTGTATGCGTGTGGTCAGTTACAAAAAGATTACAGAATTTTTTTTTTTTATCGAGCTCATCAACGTTCCTCCTATCCAATAGGAAAATGTATCTCCTGAAAAGGACTAAACAAGAAATCGTCCTATTGGACGTGAGATGCGTTCCAAAATTTCGAGAAAAAATGTTACAAACTTTTTGCGACCGACTATTCCTTACATGGGAAATGGTTCTAATTAAAACGATTTTGATCTTACGTATATATGTGTGAGGTTAAAAAATTATATCATTTACGAATAGGGTAATTTACAGTCTAGAGAATAGTACAGAACCGGCAATAATGCCGATTGTACACGCGAAAGAAAGAAAAAAGACATTCGGCAAACGAGACTAGAGAGACCTCCGTGCGCTGACGTCGTACTTTTCATTCAATCTCACTTTCGATCTCTTTCCGGTATTCCTTATTATTCCCCCAGTACGTAAACTGGTTTCCGTATTGCCGATACGGATAACAGCGAGTGAGCGAGCAAGCGGCCGTCTCGAGATATCCTGCGCTCCGTGTTTCTTCGCAACTGAAATTAGTTAAGTGAAGAGGTGAGATAGTTAACGAACTTCCGCTGTAAAAGTAGGAACTCATCTGCAATGCAGTAGCGTGACTTCGGCTCGTGAAACATCCGAAGATCCGACTTCTCTCTAACCATATGGAATTACGAGGTCGGACGTATAATACGGCAATTTCGTCCGCGACGCGGTACGTCGAAATGGAATGCATCCGTCGATCCGCGTGCATCGGGAGTAAAATCACCGGCGCGTTTCGCAAAAATCCACCTTACGAAATACGAGCGGGGATGCGCGAGGAAGGAAAGCCCGAGTTGTCCCGACACGTGTGATCTCCCGTTTCTAAAGTTACGATCCGGCCGCAACGACGATAGGCGGAAATTTCGATTAGATCATTACGAGTCGTCTCGCGTCCACATGATCGCGTTACATCGAGATCGAACGAATAGTCTGGGAGATACGACGGGCAGATCACGTAACCGGGGATCGCCGGTGACTTAAGGGATCACCACGGCGGTCCGGGATGCGGCGAAAGAAGATGGAAGGAGGCCACGCGGATGCCGGCGGTGCGGATGCGGCTAGACTGACGAGGAGATTATCTGTCGCGAACTATGTCGAAAGTTCCGCCCGTAATTGTATTAGTTAGCTCGCGAAAACGCTCGCGAGAGAATTAATGAGGCTTCATTTTCGAACTTCGCGGCGGTCGCGAGCGCACGGCATCTTCGAGGGCGAAGAAATTCCGCGGATCAACGGAGAGGGATGGGAAAGCGTGCCAGCCTCGCTTCTACAAGTTGCAGCAAACTCCAGATATTGTTGTGTTACTTCATTTTAATGGCTGTTAATATAGTCGGAGACGTCGAAATGTCACTGTCGTTTCGAGTCTCGACCGCCGCGAAAGACGTTTCGCCCTCGAAACTTCCCGGCGAACTTCGGCGATTAATCGCCGCGAGAGCTCATCGTTGCGCGATGCTAAAAATAATCGCTTTCGTGGTAACCGAGAAAAATATCCTTTTCCTCATGAATTACGCAACTCGGGGAAACGAGACGTCGATTGTACGCGTTTTGCATCAGCCCCCCCCCCCCCCCCGAGCGGGGCTTCCCCNGCCGGCCAAGTACGCGTCAACGTGTAAACAACCGCAGTAATTTCTCGTAATTATCGCAGAGAAATGTCTCCGTAATTTGTACTATTTCGGGAAGGCCTGTTCTACAATATAGTATTTCGGATGCCGGAAGGCAGCCGACGGCCCGATGAAGAGAGCTTACTTTCGCAAAGTAAATTCTCTCATTCGCATCGACATTCGTCTTGGCACCCGACGTGTCGATTTGGATTAGGTCCAGGTCGCTGCTCGAAACAACGTAAGACCGGAGTCGATGCACACGCAAATTGACGCATCCCGTGTCGCAGTACACGGGCGGGGGGG